AAGGGGGGGGGAAGAGAAGGGGCGGGGCCCGCGCTCGAAAAAATCGGCACGCGCCGGGGGAAGAATAGGAGGGCCTGGCCCGCCGAGCTTCTGCTGCACCGTCCGGGCGGCGCTCTGCCTCCTCCTCGCCAGCCACTCTGCCCTCTTCTGGTGGTCCTTGTAGAGGTTCTCGGAGCGCTTCAGGGCCCTGCTCTGCGCCTGGCCCGGCTGGAGGCTGTCCTTCTCGAGCCAGGCTCCATATCCAAGGAGGAGGAGGGAGAGAGGAGGGAAGACGAAGAGATAGAGAGAGAGAGAGAGAGAAAGAAAGACGGGCAAGATGAACGGGGAGAAGGAGAAAGAGAAAGAGAGAGCGAGAAATAACAAACGAATTGAAGAGACTGAGATCGAGAGAGGCAGAAAGACTGAGCGAAAGGGAGAGAGAGAGAGAGAGACAGAGCGAGACTGATGTAGAGAGAGAGGGGGCGAGAAAGAGAGAGAGAGAAAGAGAAAGAGAAAGAGAAAGAGAAAGCGCAACAACGCCTGGGTAACGGGGTGCGCCAGCATAAAGTGCGAACGATCTTGTTTCGAATGCCCTCGGGTCGAAGTCTGGGTATGGGACAGAGAGCGACGAGCAAGAAGGCAGCAGCACACACACACACACACACGTAAACTTGATATTGTAAGGTGCTCCCATGTTTGAGTGAGCGCGCTTCACCGTCGCTGGCCTGAACAACTTCTGTAAGGGAGGTAAGAAGCCAGGGGGCCCCCCTCCCCCCGAGAAGCAACATCTCACGGGAGGCCTCACAAGGCGCAAGACTGAATGGGTATGGCGGGCTTTCGGCCCTCCTCCCTGCTCGGTGTTCCTCCCTTCCTCTTCCTCCTTCCTCCTTCTTCGACTGCGCTGCAAGGTCACAGCTCCACCTTATGCTCGCTCGTGGAGGGTCCCCCTCGCCCCTCCCTCTCTTTTCTCCCCTGGCCGTCCGCCCCAGACGGGTGTGAAGGGCCCCCGTTTAGCCGACAGCACCCGCCAAAGTGCTTCGGGTGCGGCGCGCTTGCCCGCTGGCCCGTGGACGGAACTCCGCCCAGATTGTCTCTCTCTCTCTCTCTTTCTCTGTCTCTCTCTCTCTCTCGTTCTCTCTTTCTCCCTCTCTCTCGCTCCCCCTTTCTCTCCCAAGTGGTCCCCCACGGGCTTCCATCACGGCTGAGGTGACGCATAGTCCAATGCGTCGGCCAAATGGTTCCCCGACGTGTGGCAACACACGTAAGCCTATCCAAACGGCAGGGGGCGGCGGTGGCTCGCCATAGGCGCCTTCAATCGATGTAGTTCTGGAGAGGAAAGAAAGAGAAAGAGAGAGAGAGGGAGAGAGAACGAAAGAAAGAATGGAATCCACCATACATAAAGAAAGAGAGAGAGAGAGAGAAAGGAAAGAGAGGGAGAGAGAGAGAGAGAGGCAAAAAAAAAAACAAGTGGGAGCAAGCCGTTTGGGGCCGTGGCACGCTCACAAAAAGGTAGAACTTGCAAGCCCAGGGCGCCTCGGGGCCATGTCACACTCACGATGCGGGAGTGCAGAGTGCACGCCCGTGCTGCAGGCCGCGGCGTACACAGGTTGAGAGTGCAAGCCGAGCCCTGGGCCATGGCACATTCACAAGGGTGGAGAGCGCAAGCCCTGCAATTGGCCGTTGCACACTCACGGAGGGAAGATGGGCCGCAGCGCAAGCGGCAAGAGGCAGAAGGCGGCCCGAAAAAAGAATTTGCACGATGAGACGGGCCTGGCACGCGGGAGAGGGAAGCAGAGCCGGCGGACCAGGGAAGCAGAGCCGGCGGACCAGGGTCGCGAGGCAGGAGGGTGGCGGAGGACACCAGACGTGGAGCCAGGCCCGAGGAGGAGAGGAAGAGGAAGAGCGTTGGGGGTCCCAAGTGGCGCGGTCTTCTAAGAAGGCTACCTCTATGTCGTGAACATCAGTATCAGAGGCCCCAGCATGTATGATTCTAGCATAGATGTGCTGACTGCAAACGTCGTTGAAGCACTGACTGCCGCAGCCAACGATTGCGCTACAGACTGCACGACGGAGCGTCATTGTGCCGCATCGCTCTGGGATGCGCCGAACCTCATCACCACCACCACCACCAGAACCATCACGATCACCATCATTATCACCATCATCATCATCATCATCATCATCATCATCATCATCATCAGCAGCATCACCATCATCATCAACAACATCATCACCATCAGCATCAGATGCATCATCATCATCAACTTCATCGTCATCGCCATCATCATAATCGTGATAATCATAATCATGCACGTCAGCGTCATCGGCATCTACATATGTTATCGTCATCCTCGTCGTCGTCGTCCTCATCATCATGGCCATCAACATTGTCGTCTTAGTTGCCATCATCATCACCACGATGAACATCCGACTCATCACGCATACATATCGATATATACATATACATATGTGTGTATAAATATGTATGTAACATCCCTCTCGGGTGACCGCCATCTGCATCCAATCTTTCCCAGCGGGCTTGCGGCGGAGCCTCTTCCGTATTCATCTTCTCCACCTTCGGGAAGACTCAAAGCCCGGGTGCCGCATAGGAGCGGGGTTGGGACCGGGAGCGCTTCCTGGGGAGGGGAGGAAGGGGAGGAGAGAAAGAAGAAAGAGGTAGGAGGAGAAAGGAAGAGGTGTGAAAGGAGCATGCTGAATGCTGGATTGGCCTACCTCAAAGGAGGCAGCTCCGATAAGAAAAAAGTGAAGCACAAGGGCCAGCAGCACGAGTTGGCCACGCAGCCAAGACACAATCTTCGTCCTTCCCATCGCAACCAAGAACACCACAACCGACAAAAAAAATATCGTCATTATCATCGTTCGGCTTGCAAGGCGGAACCAGTGGCACAAATAGACGCACAGGCCAACACAAACATGTTCAACACGTGAAGACCATGTTAAAAGCAATAGCCCACGCCAGAAGGGGAGCCACAGCCGCTGAGCCCCTTATTTCGGATTGAAAATCGGAGGGTGGCGGGAACGACAGGTCCCAATGATACATTGCGCTTGGGATCAGCGGGTTCGAGAAGCCGAGTTGCACAAGCACTGGCGTATCAAATGTATGACACTTGCCGAAGAGTGCGCAACGTAGGGTTCACACAATAATGTAAGGGCCTTCTTTCATCACACCATGCCCAATGCCATGCGGGGCGGAACGAAACGTGTGAGGGGTGTGCCGAAATGGAGGCGGCGGTGCCGTGCGAACCCTGCCAACTGGGCCTTCGGCGGAGCTCCCTACGGGGCCTCGAAGCGTGTGAGGGGTGTGCCGAAATGGAGGCGACGATGCCATGCGAACCCTGCCGTTGGGGCCTTCGGCGGTGCTCCCTATGGGGCCACGAAGCGTGTAAGGGATATGCCGAAATAGCGGCGACGATGCCATGCGAATCCTGCCGTTGGGGCCTTCGGCGGTGCTCCCTATGGGGCCGCGAAGCGTGTGAGGGGTGTACCCAAATGGGATGGGCATTCGGAGAGCAGAAGCAAGGAGGGGGAGGCGGGATGAGGGGGAGGAGTGCGGGAGGGGAGTGACGCGGGGCGCTGTCTCTTCGAAGTGAAGACCCAACAACAGGTTGGGCAACAACCGCTGTGACCGCCACCATGGCAGAACGGCCGAGCCGCAGCAGAGGGCGAGCTCGGCCGTCAGTCAGGCAGTGTGATATGTTGAGCCATGGGCGTTTGGCGTGTCGCACGTTCGAGCGCCTTTGGTTATGTTGGCATGCAGCACGCGAGCAAGCGGGTACACTATAGCAACACACTTGTAGTGGCAGAAGAGAAGGAGGAAGAGGAGGAGGAGGAGAAAGATAAGAAGGTGGAGGCGGAGAAAGGGGTGTTGGGCCAGAAGTTCCTGGGAGAAGATGGGAGAAGGAGGCAGCCATAAACGGGATATGAGAAAGAGGGAAGGAGCAGGTCGAGGAGAAAGGAAGGGGGAGGGGTGGAGGGGTGAACGAGGGGACATGGCATGGGAGGGTGTATTGCAACATCGCTGGTGCATTTTGGATTTGCCATGGCCCTCTTCCTCTCCCTTATCCTCGATACCCCTTCTCCCCCCGTCCCTCATGTTCCTCCTCACTCCTCACTCCTCCCCCTCTCCGCAGCGTCTTCCCGCCTCCTCGTTTATTATCATCCCTTGCCCTCATCCCCCGACGTCCTCGTCCTCCCCTTCCCCGCTTCCCTCCATCTCGCCCTGCTCCTTCCTCCCATGAGGGGGGGACCGGCTGGACAAGCACCCCACCCGCACCGCAACCCTGCCCCACGCTACACCAACCCCGGATCGTTGAGCCGCCCTGGGCCTTTCCGTGCATGTCGCGCTGAGCATCGGCCTGCTCGGCAACCTCCCGCATCTTCTTCAGCTTCCTGCGAGGGAGCGACGAAGGACTAGTTGCGAGACAGGACGAGGAGGAGGGAGGAGGAGAATGAGGAGGAGGACGAGAAGGGCTAGCATGAGCATGAGCATGAACGCTATGGGAGCTCCAGTCGATGAACTATGAAGTTTGCTACGACTTATACAAATGTTGCACTGCACTACTCTGACACACAGAAATTCCAATACATAGCTCCAGCGCCGCATTCTTGAACGCCCGTATTCGTGAATGGCCAGGGGCTCAGGCGGCACGCTGTCCGCTCGGGGCCTGAAGAGCAAGCCGCGGCGGCACGCGGCCTAGATCCGCCCCCCTGGCACCACCAGAAAGTTAAAGCTGGCGTCCCTTCCTTCCACGACCTCGACCCTTCGCTCGAGGCTCGCAGAGGATCCCGATCAGAGGCCCTCCCCACCTATCTACAGCATCGATGGGGCCCCCCAAATTTTTCCCGATCGCAAGAAGGGGGATTCGAGGAGGAGGACGGAGGATCATAAGGAGGACCGACAAGTCTGGAGGCGATCCCGAGAGCAGGACCTGAAAGCCGCCCTGCTAAAACATATTTTTATATATATATATATATATGTATAAACCTGCTGCTACCTCTCATCACTTCTTCTTCTTCTTCAGCCGATCGAGCAGCGCCTGCCCCACTCGCTCGAGCGCCCCCCTCGGAGCGCTGCCCAAAGTGGGTTTCCCCCCGGCCTTCGCGAGCTCGGCCTCGAACAGGCTCTGGACGGTGACTTCGATCTCCGTCGGCTGGAACAGGTACGTGATCTTCGCGACCTCGGGCTTCCTCTCGATCTTCTTCGCGCGCTGGCACAGCAGGTAGCGGACGTCGAGGGACGCCTTCAGCATGCCGCCCTCCTGGCACAGCACCTCGTCGTAGTACTTCTTCAACTTCGCGTGCGCCTCGCCGAGTTGGGTCTGCGTGGCCGCGAGGCGGCTCTCCTCGACCTTGACCAGCTGTTCCACCAAGGTCGCGTACAGCACCAGGTAGGGCGGACCCTGCGTGTTCTCGGGCGGACCTTCTCCTTTGGAGAGTGCCTCCTTCTTCGCCTTGGCCCAGTCCTGCGCCTGCTGGTTGTGCCCGACGCCAGACTCGAGTAAGCTCGCCACGACCGCGGCTTCCACGGGCGTCGGCACGGTGGTGAAGATAGCGCCTGCCAAGATCCTCGTCTCTGCCGCGTTGGACAGTGTGAGCTTGGCGGTGACCTCCGTCAGCGCGTCGAGTGTGGCTCGCTTCGGCTCTCCTCCGCCATCTCCGCCTCCGCGGTTGCTGCCAGCATGACGCTTCTGGTCGCCCGTTTCGGCCGAGACCGCCGTGCGCTTGCCCATCCAAGCTGGACGATTCTCCATCTACAAACTTCTGAGAGACGAAATTGCCCAGGGCCGAGCTCCAGGTACCCAATCGCTGAGGAACATGAGTACGGACATGAATCTGGAGCCCTCGAAGAGACCCGCCTTCGAAATCACATACAAGGCATGTGTGATGTTTAGGTTCACGTACATGTGGTAGAGCGGTAGCACTCTCTTTCCAGCAATATCCTCTCTTGAAACTTGGAGGAGGAGGAGTGAGGAATGGGCGGAGGAGGATGAGGAGGAGGAGGAGGAGGAGGAGGAGGAGGAGGAATGGGAGGAGGAGGAATGGGAGGAGGAGGAGTGACAGTACACTGGGACAGCCAGAATCCGACGTGGAGGCGACGGAGGGCCGATGAGGAACTACGAGGAAGGACGACCAGAATAGGGGGGGATGAGGAGGAGGAGCTGGCACTCTCCCAACCTGGGGGGAGAAGACACAGGTAGACCCCAGCCAGCTTCGGGCGTGTGCCTCTCGGAACCCTGCCATTTTCTCCAGGCGATCCAGTTTCTGCCGCGCGCGGGAGCAAGAGGAGGAATGAGAGGGGGATCAGGAGGAGATGACGAGGCGAGAGAGTGGGTAGAGGGGAGGAGGGGAGGAGAGGAGAAGAGGGAGGAGGAGGAGGAGGAGGAGGAGGAGGAGGAGGAGGAGGAGGAGGAGGAGGAGGAGGAGGAGGAGGAGGAGATGACGAGGCGAGAGAGTGGGTGGAGGGCAGGAGGGGGAGGAGAGGAGAAGAGGGAGGAGGAGGAGGAGGAGGATTCAGAAAGAGGAGGGGGAGGAATGAGCAGGAGGAAGGGGGTCCTGGCCAGCATCTCCGACTGGCTGAAGAGGCGCTCATGGACGGACTTGGAGCGGTCAGCGAGGAGCCCTGCGAACCGCTCGAGGCCCTCCTTGCCCAGGCGCCCCTTCTTGTGCGGGTCCAGCCTGGGGGAGGGGCATGGCGCCTCCCGGCGCCCCAAAGGAGAAAGAGGATGGGGAAGAGGAGGAGGAGGATAAGGAGGAGGGGCCAGGAGGAGGGAGGAGGGGGAAGAGGACACGGAGAAGGAGCACAAAGAGAAGGGACAGAGCGGAGGGAGGAAAAAGGTGCACCAGGAGGAGCAGCAGCGGCAGCAGGACGGCCTCTGCTTCTCCTCCCCATCCTTGTCCTCCTGCGCCTCCTTGTGATCGTCCTCCATACTCCGTCCTGAACCCTCCTCCTCCTCATCATCAACCTCCTCCTCCTCCTCCTCTTCCTCCTCCTCATCCCTCCCCCTCCCCCTCCTCCTCCCCCGCTTCCTTCTCCCACCCCCCCTCCTCCTCCTCCTCCTCCTCCTCCTCCGCCTCCTCCTCCTTTTCCTCCTACTCCGCCTCCTCCTCCGCCTCCTCCTCCTACTCTTCCCTCTCCCCTCTATGCTAGCAGAGTGCTGCGAGCGTCGCCCACCGCCCGAGACCACGACCCCTCGCACAAGAAAGACGAAACGGTCCGCGCTCCCGAGGCCGCGATCCTCGGCGGTGGACAAACCTCCCTTTAGTAAACCTCCCGTTCGTGAAAACGCCCTGTCGCGAACCGAAAACGGCCAATTCGCTAATCTACGTGTCAGGGTAGGAGGTCTGTCCACCCACGCGATCCCTTCGATAGAACGAAAGGCCTGCACTCCCGAGGCAAAAATGTTCCTCGCACAACCGATGGACCCGCGCTCCCGAGCCTCTAAGACCAGCAGGAAGCAGGCCACAAAAAAACCGCCAAGAGGCCCCCGACCAGAGGTTTTCCATGGTACGGCCCGACGAAGAGGAGAGGAGGAGGAGGAGGAGGAGGAGGAGGACCCAAATAATGTTCTTCCCCCAACGCACTGTCCCAACACCTTCCCCAAATGTGGACGGCACCACCTCTTCGGACGTCCTTGAGCTCCAGACGGCCCCCACGACAGGCGCAAGACAGCCTCACGACGGGCGCAAGAGACCTCCCAGACGGCCAAGGGGCCCCGAGACGGCCCAGGAGGGCCCCAAGACGGCCATAGAGGGCCCCAAAAACGATTCAAAGTGGCCCAAGGGGCCCACAAGACTGCCCCGCAAGAGCCCAAGAAGGGACGGGCAAACGGGAGGAAGACGACGAAGCCGACAAACAGAACCCCCCGAGACGACGCGGAAGAGTGTGCCAAAAGTTCCTGTTCTCCCAAACCCGGGGACACGAAGTGTCAGACGTGGCGGCCTCTGGTGCCCCACAGAAGACGCCACCCAGAATGCCAAGCTGGCACGGTCGCGGGACTTGCCGTAGGCAGCTGGACAACCTACCCAGCGACATACCCAACACGTGTCCACAAAGCGGCAAGAGCAAAGAGCCGGAGCATGGCGGATGGCGACGTGACAAGGAGCCCGATCTCCCGACAGAGCTCCGCGGGAGGCTCGCGGCCTACACGACCCACCCGGATGCACGACGACAAAAGGAGAGGGGAGCGCAGAGCAAGGGCGGGAAATACTGGGACAGAGTCGAACATCGCGAGCAGTGGCAGGCAGCGAAGGAGAGGTCTCGCATGATCTGGACACTGAAGGCCGGTCCGCCAGACCTCCCGGGAGCCCACGAGAAGGGTGACGCGTTCGCAGCTGGCCGCCTCCCCGGGAGGCGGGGCCTCATCGAACTTGAGAACCGAAAGCCACTCCGCTGGACCTCCCCGGAGCAAGTGAAGATGGCGCCAGCTTCACAGTTCGCAGCACCCAGGGCGACCAGGTCGAATGGTGGTGCCTTGAAGACGGCGGGCCACAGAACCTCCCAGATGCACGAGAACGTGGCGACAGTCTTCGCGGTTCGCAGCACCCGCAGAGAAGGGGAGGTGCAGCTGTGGTGCCTTGAAAACGGCGCTCTCTTGGACCTCCCAGGAGCACACGAAAGTGGCGGCAGTTTCTCAGTTTGCAGCTCCCACGGTCTGCGAGGACTCATGTGATCCGAAAAGAACGTCGCACCGATAGGCCTCCCAAAACCGGCGACAGTTCTGCAGCTCGCAGCCCCACGGGGTGCGAGGTGTAAGTGGTGCCTTCAGGACGGTGCTCTTCTGGACCTCCGAGGAGCACAAGAAATTGGCGACAATTTTACAGACGGCCGCCCCCACTGCTAGTAGTTCTTGCCTTGAGCACGGCGCTCCGCTGGATGGAACACACGAAAATAATAATAATGATAATAATAATAATAATCATACTAATAATAGTAATGATAATAATAATAATGATAATAATGATAATAATGTTTTTTTTTGTTTTTTTGTTTTTTTTTATTTTTTTTAAACAAAAAAAAAAAACGGTTTCGCAGCTGGTAGCGCCCAGGGACGCGAGGTGCAGTTGTGGTGCCATTAGAGCGGCGCTCCGCAAGTGTGGCGACAGGTTGGCAGTTCGCAGTTCCCGGGGACGCGGGGTCTAGTTGTGGTGCATTCAAGACGGCGCTCCGCTGGACCTCCCAGGAGCACAAGAATGTGGCTACGGCTTCGCAATTAGCAACACCCAGGGAGGGGAGGCGTAGGTCTGGTGCCTTTACGACAGCGCTCCGATGACCAGCAGCACGCAAAAACGGCGATGGCGTCTCAGTTTGCAGCACCCAGGGAAGGGAAGTCTAGGTGTGGTGCGTATAAGCCGGCGCTCCGTTGGACCTCCCAGAGCAAACGAAAGTGGCGCCGTCCGCGCAGCTCAGCGCCCATGGACGCGAGGTGTGGTTGTGGTGCGTTTGAGACGGCGCTCCGCTGGACCTCCCGGGAGCCAACAACTGTGGCGACAGTTTCACATCTCGCAGTTCCCAGGGACGCGAGGGCTAGTGGTCTAGTTGTGGAGCCCTGAAGACGGCGTTCCGCTGTCCCCGCAAGCAGCCCTCTTGAGGGGCGACGGTCTTGCAAATCGTATACCCCCGAGGGATGGCGAGGTCGAATCTGAAGCTGGATACAGTAGGGGCCCGACCACAAGAACCCTTCCACAAGAAATCCAACCCTGAGACCCCAGGACGTCCATTGATCTTTGGTGTGAAAACGTCGCGCTTTCCACAGCAGAACCATGGAAACCCAACAAACCCAGGGCAACCTGGAGGCAAACAGGGTGTTTCTTGGCATGGGCCTCCACTATATGCCGTCACTGTGCTGGCACCTCCAGCAGCCCTCAAGCGTGGCAGCAGCTCTGCGGTCCGCAGCACCCCCGACCCCACCCCAGGGAAGGCGAGGCAGGAGGCACAACACATGGGAAGGAGACAAGCATGAAGTTTGAGGCAAGAGAAGTAAGATGGGAGGAGAGAGGTGGAAGGAGGCGGGAGGAGGGGACGTGAAAACCGCGATACGCGATGTCAAGCAAGAGTCCAGAGGGGGGTTGACAAGAATTCCTCCATGTCGCGCCACCAGACGTGTCGTTAGGGCCAGGACCCGAGGCAATTCCGCATGAGACTTCCACGCTGCATACGATTTTGAAGCTAGAAGTGTCCCCAAGGACACTGGTAGAGGGTGCATCGTTTTTAAAGTTGATGGCGTAAACGCGAGCTCGTGAGTAGGGTGGGGCACCCAAGCCTAGATCGCCGATACATGGACGATCGGGGGCCGGTATTCTCCCCCCTGACCCAATCCCAGCTTTTTCGACTCCACCCTCACCCCGCCCCTCTCCCTCGACGTCGCAATTTTCTCGTCCTGAGTCGTTTGCTGACAGTCTGGGGGCCGGGAGAGAGCGGAAAGCCAACCCTCACCATCTGCCTGCGACGCCCGGATCTGAATAGGAGGCCTGGAAATGGGCGCCAACACCAACACAGGGGGTTGCCTCCACGGGAGGAAGATGATCCTGGATCTTGGTGTTGGTGGTAATCTTTCGGCCGCCAAGAAAGCCCGAACATTACCACCATCACCGAGATCGGGATCCTCTTCACTCGGTGGACGCACAACGCCGATTTTGGTGTTGGCGTCAACCTCTAGGCCTGCGACTGAAGGCCCCTTCGGGAGCCTTTGGAACCGTCACCATCTGCCTGCCTGCGACGCCCCGATCCCCAGAGATCCGATGCCATGATTTTTTCCATGCGGGGTCCCCGGCAGTCTCGACCCGTCCCCAGGGACCGGTTTTTCATCCTGAATCCTTTGTTGACACTCCTGGGGCCTGGCGAGGGTCCCCAGAATCCGAAAATGAGAAAAACCTCCGTCTTGATTTGTTCAATGCGCTGGATCGCTGGATCTGAAGGCCCCTCCGGGAGCCTTTGGAACACGGCCTTCACGAGGTCCTCCACGCGCAGCCTCGCCGCGCAGAGGCCGCAGCCCGCCCCCGCGCACCTCGCGCAGTCCTTTCCGAGCACGCCGTCGGCCGTGCCAGGCCTGCCAGCGAGGTCCTCGCCTGTTTCCGCTGGGCCTGGCGGCGGCCCCCCCCAGCTCCGACGCATGGAACAAATCGGGACGGAGGTTTTTTTCGATGTGTTCGGCGCCTGGAGGCCCACTGCTGGGTCCCGGGGCCGTCATGAAAACAAAAAGTGGGCTTCCGAAATGAACGATTGTTTTGGGACATTGGGAATGCGCTGCCCCCCCCCCAAAAATTAGACATTCGGAACACCTTCTCGGGACGAGAAGTGGGCCCTGGAGAAACGGTCGGGACTTCCAGGGATCCTGCATGGAAAGAAACACAGCCTCGGATCTATGGGTCGGGGTGACGCAAAACGCCACGATTGGGAGCGGCGCTGGCCAGCCAGGGCACCGATTGGAACGAAAAACTGCATCGGGAGCAGTTCTCGGAGGCCCGCACTGGTTTCCGGGGCTGGCGACGGACAGCGCGCCAGGGGCGGCCGCCGCAAGGAGAGGCCCAGCGCCGATCCGAGAAATCCGCGCAGTCCCCAGGGGCCGAGGAGGGCCCCGAAAGCCCGAAACCAGTTGCACGCTCCACGGGAACCGCTCCCTCAGGACCCGCAGGTTTCGTGGCGAAAGACGCGGGGGGGGGGGGGGGAAAGGTGACGCTTGCCAGACGCGACGGCCTTCCCCGTCTAGCATCTGCAGCAAAGTCACCAGCGCGCCCTTCGAGCAATACCTCGGCCGGGTGGAGAAGCATCCGGGGGATCAGCGAGAACTGGGGATGCGCCTGACGAGGATCCAGGAGGGAGTGGCTCAAAGACGTGTGCTGCCCCGCGATCCGCACTGGATCCTCCACGACTTGTCCAGGCTTCTCTAATGATCTCTGGGCTCGGGGCAGAAAGCCCCATCCCCTCCAGGCAGAATTACAACCTATCAGACATGATGATGGTGGATGTGCTTGAGGCTATACAGTTTGGAAACTGGAGGCGTCAACGCGAGGAGGGAGAGGTGTGTGTGTGTTTGTATGTGTATGTGTGTGCGACGAGGGGCATGGCGTTCTGCGTGCTCCTTCCAGTTCGCTCGGCCAGGCGGGTGGCGCATAGGCCCGCGCAAGGATCCACCACTTCCGCCACCGCCTGGCCTAGCTCCCGAACTTGAAAAAAAATCAAGGCCCCTCTCCCCGGCGGGGGCCTCCTCGAAAATGGCGACCTTCAGCCGCCCACCTGCGGCCTACGGCGCACGGGCGGCGCGCTCCTGACGCCTGCGGCGCTCACGTCGGGAGCGCGCCTCAAGCCTGTTGGCCTCTGGAAGGAGAGGCGGAGGAGGGGCGAGCAGGCCAGCCCCTTCGAGCCTCCATCCAAATCCCCTTCACCCCTCCTCGCCTCCCCTTCGTACCCTCGAGGAGGGCGAGGAGGGAGAGGGGCAGGAGGCCCTCGAATCTTATAGCTTCGAACCTGGAAGCTCTCCCGAACCCCTGCAATAATACAGGGGAACAAGAAGGGAGGAGGAGATATGATTTCCAAAGCCCCTTTATTCTCCTCCTCCTCCTCCTCCTCCTGACGCTGCGGGCCACTCGCGGTCTCGCTCCGCGTAGCCCCTCCGCTGAGGGCGCGCCCAGATTTGCACCGAGCACGCGCATCAAGACCTATGCCCCACCTTCTGCCTCAGTCGGGCGGCTGAGGCAGGAGGTGGGAACCTCAGGAAACGGCCTCTGGGCCCGAGACCCCGCCGAAGGACAGGAAAGAAACAGCAAACATCCTCGGGGCCTCGAGGGAGGAGGGAGGCGGGGCCCGAGGACCACAAGTCAAAGACCCGAGGCCTAGGTCACTTAGCACACCCGACCACCACCTCCATCATGGAAGTCGACCTCCTTCTCGCGAGTGCGACGCGGAGGTGATGATGGGGGGGCCAAATTCTCGTGCACGAGTGGCCCCCCCCCCCCAGGCAGGGGACAGCCAAGGCGTCAACCGTTAAGCAAGAGCGAGGAAGGAATCGGAGGGGGGGGGGGGGGCGCGCACTCTACGCCGAGGCCAAGCCAGGGGGGGGGGAAGGAAGACTCCTGGGCTGCCGTAGATGGAGAGGGGGAGACGAAGGCCTCCGATGGCCTCGGGCTCGCCCGGCGGGCCCCCTTGTAAGAGGGAGCCCGTCTCCTCTTCCCCCCATCGGCGGCCGCCGTCGCCCCCCGGCCCTCTTGCCGAGGGGTAGGCGCGCTCGCCGCCGAGGGGGGCCTTCTGGATGGCGAGGTGCTCCGCGTGCGCGGTGCCGCCGAGCCGCGAGGAGAGGTCGCCTCGCTCGGTGGTCTTGCGCCCATGTTGCAGGCGGCAAAGCGCGGCGACGTGTGCCCGAGGGCCCGCGCACAGCCCTCGTTCGCACTATGGAGCCGCGGCCCTCGTCCTCAGCCCCAGACAGCGCTCCGAAGTGGGTGCTGGCCCCAAGGGGGGAGCCACGGCTCCCCGAGACGCCGCGGTTCACTCTCGTCACCCGACTCTCCTCCGAAGGGATGCAGGCTCCAAGATGCGTTCCAGATGGCGCCCCAGGAAGCGACTGTCTGCGTGCTTTCCGATGGGTCTTGCGTTCTACCATCAGCGAGCCCATGGTGCAGCGTCACGGCGCCCTCCACCCTTCGGCGCTGTGCGCTGCGGGGTCCGCTCGTGGGCTCGTCTGCTCGCTGTCCACGTAGTATCGGTCGTGGTGCGTGGCGCATTCATTGAGGTCGCCGATCTCCTTTCCGTCTGCGTGGTTACTTCTGCGCGTAGCAGCCAGGATACGCATCGCGTCGTCATCGCCGTCGCTGGCGTTGAGGAAGCGCTTGCGGGTAACGACTTGGTTGCGTCTCTCCAGATGCTGTAACTCTCGCGGGGCAGTTGTCGTCATAGGTCCGATGTTTATCGTGCAAGCCGCGTCGTTGGCGACGCGCGTGTATATGAGGGCGATGGCGTCTCGCATCGTCGCGTTATCTTCCGTGCTGGTCGTGTTCTCGTGTCTGCTGGCATCTCTTCTGCCCCGCGGGTGTTGCTCGTCGCGGATTTGATTGCTGTTTCCTATGCTCGGGGTGGACTTCTTGGAATGGATGGCACCGGTTGTGCCATTCAATATAACATCGTGGTTAGCGTTGTTGCTGTGGTCGGCTTTCCTATCGTTGCGCTTCTGGCTCGCGTGGTTGGCTACGGTGAGCATGCGCACGCGTCGGTGTTGTAGCTCCGCTTGCCGCTCGATGCCGCTGATGATGCGCATGGCATCGGCGCTGGTGGCGTTCTGGTCGGTAATGATCAGTATCGTAGTCTGTTGTGCCCCGTCGTTGCCTAGGTCTGCCGTCTCTCCGTCGGTTGTGTCCACTCGCGTATGATGTGTTCGACGATCGCCTGGTTGGACGTCTTCCCTCTGTTCTCGCCAGACGCCGCGCCCTTCGACTGCTTGCGGTGACAGAGGGACTGGCGCAGGAATCATCGAAGTGCAATCGCGCTTCGCGTCTGCGCGTAGTGCGAGCGATGGTCCGTGGAGCTGGGCGCAAGGGCGTTCTGCGTAATATTATGGTAATCCTTTGTATTTGTTGGTCCGACGCGCGCGCCGCATCTCCTCGGAAATGTCGTTGGCTGCGTCGTCGCGCCGCTTGCTGAACTTCATGGCGAGCAATGCGCGCCGTCTGCAGGCGCGCATGTGCTTGTGCAATCTGTTGGCCGCCCAGTATTCCCTCGCACAGACCTGGCATGTAGTCCCGTGGATGTAGTTGATTAGATTATCGTGCTGGCTGTGCTTCGCCCGCATGTGCTTTTGGTGCGCCGCCTTGCCGTTCACGATTTGCCCGCATTCGCAACAAAGGTACCAGCCGTCACGTTGAGGGCCTTCGCTCCCAGGCGCAAGGATGATGGCGCCATCGCGCATGTCACTGATGCGTCGTCTCCAAGCAGCTGCAGCTGCTTTTTCTTTGTTGAACTCGACGGCTGTCTTGTAGGCGCGTAGTAATAATTTTGAATTTGGACGGTTCTTCCTCTGCCATGCCCATCCATTGGCGAATGCCGTCGTGGTTGGGCGTTGTATGGTGCTTGCTGGTGCGCGTTTTGATGTGGTAGAGGTCGTCTGCAATCGTTGTAGACCATCTTCCATTGTTCTCGGTATCGTAGTCAAGCAGAGCTCTTAGCTCAATCGTGCAGGCGGTCGTTAACCGGATGATCCCCCGCAACCTTGCCTGCCGTAGTCTTTGTTGGAGTGTCGCGATGCCTGCCCTGCTGATCATCTCGATGTTGGCGATCTTCTCACGCTGAGTTGTCTGATGATCAATGCCCAATGCCATCCTCGAAGCTGCTGTGCATGCAATGGCGACTATGTCCGTGTCTGTCCTTTTTGCAGGAGCAAGTGCACGTGCTGCAGCTTCCTGGGTCAAGCCATTCCGATCATTCGCAATTTCGCCCAGGACTTTGAGCGTTCGCGCGAAAGCGACTGTCATCCCCATGTCCGTGTACTGTTTCTGGTCAACATGCATCTGTCTCGCAATTATTGTTCCATCCTTGTTGCCGGCGTAAATTAGGAAGTTGGACTTGGTAAAGTTGACGGGTAGTCCTCGCGATAGTGTTGTTCGTATCAGTATCACCAACATGGTCTTGACTGAGGCCCCTATCACATTGCCGTCGGCGACCGTTGCCATAGCTTTCACGTCGTCGGCAATGGTTGGTACAGAATACTTGTGGGCTGCCTGGTATTCTTACTGTGGCGTCCGCTGTAATGGCCTCTTCACGATCGTCTTTCGTGACTGCAGACATCAGCGCGTTGAGCGTGAGGCCGGCTATAGGTACCTGGTCGTGTTCCTAGCCTTGGTGCTGCGTAGTCTGAGTCGCGCTCGGTGAAGAAACGGGTGTTGCGGTGGGCTTCGGTCAGCATCGAGAGCAAATGCTTGTTGTCTATGTGGGTGCTGGCGATGCCGTTGTTGTTCATGAGTGTCTGTGTAGCCGGCTGCATGCATTGAGGGATGTCCATGTGGCATATCAGGTTCTTGATGTCGTGAGTGCTCATTTGCATGTCGTATACCAGGCTCGTGGCTACCATGTGAAATTCAGATCGCATGCCGACCAAAATCATGATGAGTTCCTTCCACGGCTGCTAGGTTGAAGGTCGATCGCATTACGAGGTGGTTGAAGTCCGTACTGCAATAGCTTCGGCCTCCCATCTGAGTACTGAATACCCCAGGGTAACAAGTCCTTCATGCACTGTCGTATATACCTGTAGTGGCGCTTGATGATGGCGTTGGCGAGCGATGACGACCGGTGGTTTTGTAGCGTCTGTTCGGCCCCTCTTCCATTCCAGAAGCGTGTCATTCTCGATCCATTTTGTGTCGCTGCTTCTCGGGTGAGCAGCGCAGTCTTTGAAATTGGCGGTCGCATGTGGCGCGCAATCTCTCGTGGTGCCGCGTGGGCAAGGTCGTCGGCCACATCTTCAGGTCCTGCAGCTCTTCCAAGTTTGCACCGAGCCAATTGTTCTTCAAACCGGTAGATGCCAGCGAAAATGTCGATGCTTCGGGCCACGCTGTTGTCGCATGTGTCGTCCGTGTTGTTGCATTGCTCTGCTATGCCGGTCATTGTCGTGAAAGCTGCAGCTTATATGTCGCCGAAGTGTTGGGCGGCTTCAGTGCGCTTCGCCGCCGCGCCTGTAATATCCTCTCCGTTGTTGTCCATCATCATGGGGGATGTCCGTGTCTTGCGTCGCTTGCGCCCGCCAAACAGTAGTACCCTACGTAATCGTTTC